AGAGAGAGAGAGAGAGAGAGAGAAAGAGGAAGAGAAAAAGGGAGATATAAAGAGAGGTTGGTTGATGGTCGTGGTGTCGATGGACAGGGAGGAAATCCTCATGGGACAGGATCAACGAGAGTGGAGTCTGGCTAGCGGCGCGACCACCGGAGTCCACCCATAGGGGACGCCATTGAGAGTCTATCTTTCCCTTGGCGTGTGATCGACCGTCGCGCATCCGCCTTCCCTTCTCGCATCGTCGTGTGCCGATCTGCGCGCTCTACACCACCGCGGCGGTTGCTCTCCCGTCGCTGGGGCTGCTCCGCTCGCTGGATGGGGTTGGGTGTCGTCGTCGTCGTCGTCGTCGTGGTGTCGTTCGGTCCTGGTCGGTTGTCGTTGAACGTGTGTCGCCGCTGGTGATCGCGTTGCCGGCAAGCCAGTGGACCGAGAACAACGAGAGGGAGGAGAAGAAGAAGAAGAAGAGGGCGAGGAGGAGGAGAAGGAGGAAGAGGAGGAGAAAGAGGAGAAAGAAGACGAGAGCTCCCGAAAGTATCGGAGCTCTCGAAGGCTGGGCGGGAAATGGCCGGTGGTGTACTGTGTTATAATGCTTGAGGACGATCCGCTGGCTGGACCGACGAGGCGCGCCGATTCGAGCGATCGTTGTTGCTCAACCACCGCGAACGACGTTACTCTCCGCTTGGCTGTGATCGAGCAGGCTGAAGGCGTCGGCGAGGTGATCGACGTCGAGGGGATCGCTCCCGAACAGACTACGAAGGAGAATACGGTGTCGAAGGGGTGGCTCGCGTAGCCGGGGCTACGTCTGGTTGTGCGTGTGGTGCGTGGTGCGCGCGTATGTGTCCGTCCGTGAGTGAGTGCTACGAGTGAAAAAAAAGAGAAAGAGGAAAAAAAAAAGGAAAAAAGAAAGGAGAAAAGGCAAAAGAGGCGAGGTAATACGGAGGAGCTAGGAAGCTACGAGGAGCGCGTGGCCGAGAGCATGCAGGATTCGGGCGAGGCCCGCAGAGGCCTCAGTCCCGCCGGTGGACCGGGATAAGGTTTTCACCCGTAACGGTTCACGAGTGTCGCCGTATCCGAGTGACCAAGAGGATAAAGAGGGGTCGGATTAAACGGCTGCTTGGTCGCGTTCGCTCGACCAAGTGAACGTCCTTAAGCTGAGATCGCAGGAACGCGGGAAGCGAGCTGGTCTCGCTTTCGGGCGCATGGAACATGATAGAGGTGAGGTGATGCGATATCGATTGAGAGATGCCCTGTCGATGGTTGAGATGCGAGCGAGAGCTTGCGTCCTGTGTGTCCCCTTTCTCTCTCTCTCTCTCTCTCTCTCCGCCTCTCTCCTTCTTTCTCTCCCTTTCTTTCTGTGTGTATCTCTTTCATGTCTCTCTTACGTATATCAATACATTTCGTTCGACAGTAGAAATTTCGATTTGCTTCCGACTTCTGGATTTTTCAAGAAACGCGAAAAAGGGATTGAAGCGAGCGTTTCTTAGCAGAGACGGTTAACAGCTGGAAAACATCCGAGCCAGCGGCCGAGGATTTAGGTTAGCTAGATTGTGTCGAGCCTGTTGATCCAACCGAGATTTATATTCGGCCCGGATGAATCCGTTGTTGCTGACACACCGCGCCGGAACCGGCAAACGTTTCGCGATCCTTCGCGAAACACGGTACGATCGAACGATCTAATTGTTTAGAAAACTGTTAGAGAAAAATTGGTATTGGTAACTTCCTGAAATTGCCAGAAATTCGTACGGTAGAGGTTAGGACCAGGAAATTGATTTGAGGCTAGTTAGCTAGCAAATGATTTCGAGTTGGTAATAATTGAGATCTAGGTCGCCGGTTTAAACAGTGTTCGAGCAAAGTGCTCTCGAGAAGCATTTGTTGCCTGTACAGAATGTTTATGCAAATTCATACATCTCTATGAACGCGATTGAAGAAGCGATTAAACGGAAGCTTGTTTCATCTTTCAGTCTTTCGTTAATGCGCAAAACATCTACAGATTAAAGACGACGCACATTGGACGCGATATCAAATGGTACTAAACGATAGCTTGAAAAAGCTATTTCGTCGATATTTTTGTGTGCGAACCTCTTTCTCTGTCCTCGCGCTGAAACTCTATAAATAGTGCCTAACCACGCGTTTCTTAACAAGCCTCTATATAAAGATTCAAATGTTCAGAATATCGTCGTTTACAGACTCTTGTATCGATAGAAACTTTTGTATTGGTTCCCTCGCAGTACTGGAATTTGTGAATGATTAAAATGTCCAAAATATAACTGACGTCTACGTTGTTCGGGTGTTGCGCACGTGCTTTCGAACAGAGTGGCGCGTCGATGAGGTCGATCCTCTTGCATCGATAACGTTTCGACGTTTCAAGTCACTGCCACCCGATGATGATACGTGGCATCAACAAGTGTCTGAGCTTGTTGCACCGTCGATCCAACGGAACGACGCTATACGACGTTTTTCGGCGAGAGAAAAAGAAAAAAAGAATCCCTCGTCGAAACGATTTGTAACAGCGTTTGGTTGCAACGCTGCATTTAAAAATAGAGACGCAACCTTCGCAGAGAGGGGAGAATCTCCCTTTTTTTTCTACGCGAATGTTTTTCAAATGAAAATGTTTTCGTGTCTTCCTCGTGGTACGTAAACATTGTGCGAATGCACTTTTGGGCAACGTTCCAATAATCGCCAGTGTTCCCTCGATCATTCCGTATCCACGCCACGTTCCTTCCGTATCGTTTTATCAGCGAACTTTCTCCTCTTCGCGTTAACGAAATTAACATTGCTCGTTGCCCGCGTCGCGTCGCGTTCGTTTTAAATTCAAGTGATAATGAATTGTTAGATTTAAATTTAAGTAATGAATTCGTTAGATACGACGAATTATTTCATTATCTTTAATAAATAAATTTGAAGGATGATTAATTTTATCATTTTGTGAGATTGTATCGTTACGGTTAAGGAACCGTGGTAGATACAGTTTGAATATTTTCTTTTCTCTATCGCTTTGTCGTCTTTCTTTACCACGTTGTAGAGTAAGATATTTCCAAAAATATCTACCAATGTGTAAACATTTCGCTCTTTGTGTGTCTAGTCAAAATGCTTTTAAACAAAGCTGTTGTTTTAAAGCTATTGTTCACTTTCATAAATATCAAGCAAAAATTAATTATCAAGCCACGCAAGTTACATAATAGGACAAATTTCCAACGAAATCTAATCTTACTTTCCAATTCAAATTAAGGATCAATTAAATTCACGAAATAATTCTTCTACTAGTTAAAAGTGCGTCTTAAATTCATAAATATCGAGTTAAATTACATTAATGAAAAAATATAATTTAACCTCAATTTCCAATCCAGATTAAATTCATCGAATCAAATAATTTTCCCAAGAATTATAAATGCATCTGAAGTTGAATAATTCCACCGATTGTTACTCATACTCCAGATTTCTCCGAGACACATCATCTTTCAGCGTTCATCAAGTTTAGAATTTTTCCGTTTGAAAAGCTTTTCTCGTTTCATTCTCCACTCCTTCACTTCCGTCTATTCGCTTTGCCATCGACGAAAATCGAAAATCTAATACAATTTTCCACTCCACATTAAGAATTGGTTAAGCTCATCCAGTCAAATAACTCTCCCAAGAATTATAAATGCATCTGATGTTAAGTAATTCTTCCGATTGTGATTGTATGCTCCAGATATCTTCAAGAAACGTCATGTTCCAGCGTTCATCAAGTTTCGAATTTCTCCTCGAAGCGTTGCTTTTCATTCTCCACCACTTCACTTCCGTCTACTCGCTTCATCATCGGTGTTCGCGGCCGCGATTTCCAGTGGCCATCTTCGAAATTTCATCTTCGAAATTTGCCACGTTCCATCATCGTGCAAGCGAATACGCGCCTGCTTTCTGTCAATCAGTGCCCACAGCCCGTATAAACGACTTTTGAACGCGTTGTCGTTGCGTATAGTTGCTCTCGAAGCGGATCGCCGATATACACTGCCGCGTAAAAATGAAGCGAGTAAGGAGAGAAAGAAATTTTGCGTATACGCGCAATTTGCGATCCGATTCACAACTGGCGTAGTTTGGAATTGCGGTCAATTTCGCTCGAGATTTTGGAAGATTTTTTTCAAATTTCGAGAGTCAAGGCAGGATTTGCAGGATTTTTTTCTAAATGGTGAAATTCGAAGAAGATTAGATATCAGGAATAAAAGGTAGATAAAGGATTGAAGATTATTGAATTTGGACATTTCGAAAATGAAATTTCACTTCAGTAAAAAACTCGTCATTATAGGTAACGTTGAATAAATGACTATTCACAATCTAAAGACATAATTTACGTGTTCTGAATCAAATATAATAAACATTTTTCTACAACTGAACTTTCTCAGAATACTAGTAATATAGTAAATAATAATTCAGTAGGTTAGAACAAAAAGGATAAATTGCTTAGTCCTGATTATGAATATATAGATTAGAAGAAAGTTATTGAAAGAAGTTGAACATGCAAGCATTTTCTTAATTGAAAATCTAGTATTGATATAGAAAGACATGAAAATGCTATTGACAATTAGAAGGATGAGTATGTTGTATCAAAATCCTATAAAATGACAGAACTTGGGATCTCTGTTAGATTATCGCAGAATTCTTTTCAGAATATACTTCGTTTCAAACAAATTTTAAACATTTTATAATCTAGAATGTATCATGATCGTTTGAGATCCGATTCGCGCGAAGTTTCGAATTGGTAGGCTGACCTTTTTTTTAAATTTGACGTAATTAAGTCGCTCGATATCTTGGAACTGTTTCGACACGATAAAAATTTTTTTTTTAAATCTGAAGAGCCAAAATTTTGTAGAATTCTTTTCGAAACGGCGAATTTGAAGTATCTCGACGACTAGACTATCAGAATTCTTAATAAATTTTAAATTTGAAACGTACGCGCGCAATTGTGATCCTTTGTGATTCGACTCACGCCGTGATTCGAAATTGGTGGAGAGGTGAAATTTTTTTAGCGTAATCAGGTCGTTTGAGATCTTAAAAATCTACCGACACCGTTGGAAACTTTCAAAATTTCGAGCTTCTAAAATTTCAAAAGACTTGAATACTCGAGAGATCTTGATTATTAGATTATCGTAGAATTCTTTTCACAGTACACTTAATAAATGAAATTCGTTTGAAATTTGGAATGCTTTGACCCGATCTTCAAGAGCTCTTAAAATCTTAAGTATTTCAAAAGTATTTTGTACCTTGAAGATTTTTCACAAGCTTTTTCAGGTTCCCTCAAGACCACACTATACAGCAACTGGCATTCTTTCGAGCATTCTTTTCCAAATCTTTTGGGCAAGGTTAACTGCATTACAGTGGGAATTTTAGATTCTGAAGAGTTTCAGGCTTCGAGCATTCGATGAATTTAGCGAGATCTTGTAATTCATCAGTTTTCCGCATCAACTTGGGAGGCACTGAACGGATCGATGGGTGCAGTTGAGCGTACGACAATCGTATCCAAACAAATTGGCTGGCTTTTGAAAGCTTATGTGTCAATTATCGTACGGTCAGGTTGTTTCAATTAAAGCTTAACGACTTTATCGTGTTTCCGCGTGCGAGCCTGTGATGTTTTTCAAGTGTTCAAATGCACTCGAAGCCAGGGAACAGAGTGAGAAGGAAAGAGGA